GCGCACTCACACACACACACACACACACACACACACACACACACACACACACACACACACACACACACACACAGTATTTATTTATTTATCTATCAACTGTTCATAATATCCCATATATGTGAATAATTTATTTATTTATTATTATTATTATTTTTTTTTTTTACTGTTCAATTGTAAGATCTATAGTCACGCGTATGGACTATCCTTGTGTTCCTGTCTGGTGTTTTGCTCCCCATGTGCTCTCCATGTCCTAGTTTCTCCCTCGTGTTTGATCATGCCAATATTTGGTTGTTCCTGTTCCTGTGCCCATTGAGTTCCATTTGATTCACCTGTGTTCCCCTAATTATCCTCTGTATATTCCGTTTACTTAAGCCCAGTGTTTCCTGTGTCTAGTGTTCGGTGTCTAATGTCATTTTGAGTCTCCTACGTTCACTGCTCTTTGAGTTTATTAAAGTCTGTTTGTTCAAGTTTATTCCTACGTCTCCTCGCTCCTCGGGACCGTGACAGATATATTTGTCAGATGTTGCTCTTTTATAGATCAGATGTCATATTTTCGTTTTGCTTAAGTTTCTCGAATGTTTCTCCCTAAAATTTCTTTGGTGAAATACAAATAGACACAAATGAGTCAATTCTTGACACAGAGTCAGAGTATAGAGCTGTAAAAGTCTGATGCTCTTTCTCTGTTACTGAGAGGAAAACATCTGAGAAACAGGAGAGACCAGCAAAAACTATTGAATTAATTAACAGATCTGATGTGATTTTGTGTCGCGTGGATGTGTGTGTTTGGTGCTGCTATGCACTGAGGCAGTGTTTGGTATACCGTGGACTTTGGGGGAGCCCACTTGTTTGTTTTTTTTTTATAACAGGGGTTTCGTGCATTTGCGCGTGGCTTACAATGACTTACAAAGATACATAACCGCTACAAGTGTATGCACTACTTGCTTTATGCAAGCACTATATAGGATAAGTCACTATACAGGATTTACCCTATTATACTTTATCCACACAAATTGATAGATGAAACAACAAACAGCTGCCCACAAATAGTCTATAAACAAAGCATCAGGCTGTCTTTGAGTTCACATGAACAATGGTTAAAGTTACTCGTCGTCAGGCTACAGAAGAATACCATAATTCCTCCGTTCAATTAGGCCTACGACATCGAGAGTCACGGAGACCTATAACAACCCAGCCAAAATACATAATTGCGAATAACATGCCTTACCTTAACACAGAATCGACCACAGAGTCCAACGTTTATATTATTTCTACGAATAATATACTAAACATGAGTGGAATTTGCACCGCAGCGCCCCCACACCTTGATGCTCATGACAAGAATAGCATGTATAGTTATCTTTATTGAAGTGAATTAGGTTTAAATCGCCATCATGCATGAATGAATTATATTTTTGCAATTTTACACATAATAATCCACGATGATCA